GTGTTGTATTGTCCTTTTCATTTAATTCCAGGAATACTTTTATTTCTTTCTTAATTACTCCTTTGACCCATTCATCATTCAGGAGTGTGTTAAGAAGCATCTTAAAAGGTGTTCAACATCATTGGTAATTAGGGAAATGAAAATTAAAACCACTTTAAGATTTCATGTTACTCCAGTCAGATTGACTACGATCAAGAGAATAAATGATACCAAATGTTGGAGAGGATGTGGGGAAAGGGCAACACTCATCCACTGCTGGTGGGATTTCATCCTTTTACAACCCCTATGGTAAGCAGTGTGGACAACCCTTAAGAAACTACAAATGAACCTACCATTTGACCCAGTTATTCCATTCCTTGGCATACACCCAAAGAACACATCCTATTGCAGAGACACTTGTACATCCATGTTTGTTCCTGCTCTTTTCACAATAGGTAAGAGATAGAAGCAACTTAAGTGTTCTTCAGTTGATGAGTAGATAATGAAAGTGTGGTACATTTACACAATGGAGTTCTACTCAGCAGTAAAGAAAGATGAAATCATGAAATTTTCAGGTAAATGGATGGAACTAGAAACTGTTATACCAAGTGAAGTAACACAGACTCAGAAAAACAGAGACTCAGAAAAACAAACGACATATGTTCTCCCTCATATGTGGATCCTAGCACTAAATCCTTATAAGTGAGTATGTATCCAGATGTAACTGTAGGAATCAGAATAATGAAAAGGAAATAGGGAGGGAAGGAGGGAGGGAGGGAGGGAGAGGGAGAGGGAGGGAGAGGGAGAGAGAGAGAGAGACAGAGAGAGAGACAGAGACAGAGACAGACGGGAACAGTAGGAACTGTGTTACTAAGGGAGATACAAATAAAAATGGGGTTATTTAAGTGGGAGGGGGGTTATAGAAGGAACACTGGGGATAAAGGGAAAGAAGGAGCTCAAGAGAGGTGGGACCATAGGAGAAGGATATTATTAAGGGAGAAATGGGGAAAATGGGGACACTTTAAATGGGGAAACCAGAGGGAACCATGTTAGTCCAATAACCTACTGACAAAGTATACATACATTATCTCTACATGAGTCCATGTGTATAGTAAAGGCTACATAATAAGAAACAGTGCCAGACAGGAGATACTGTCCTTTGAGTTGTGGGCCAGTGTGGTCCAAGAGACTCTCAAACTTTCTCAGGCTATTGCCATAGCCCCTGATGGCCTCCCAGAACTTTAAGGTAAGATCCTACTGCCGAAGACAGAACATACATCCAACACAGGATTTGGAGAAATAGAGCTACGACTGACCTGGAAGCCACTTCCCCTGAAAGTGAGCTCTCATAGCTTTGGAGAACGCTATGAAAGTGCCCCAAGGGCAAACATCAATGGTGATCCAGTCCTAGCTTTAAGACCAAATAACCACATCAATGGCCAGCACAACATATGTCATTGATGCAGTAGTGGCACTTTTATCTTGGGGGCAATCGACAGCTACCTAATTTGAGTAAAAACCTACTCAAAGGGAGGAAACTCAAGTGTGGTACTGTAACATGACCTAATACACATGACCAGAGTGGTCACAGATCTTAGAGAAAACCCAAAACTCTCACATCGCTAGACCAATGTGATTTCTTATTATGTGCAAAATATGTATCCTTCCTTATATTTACAGACAAATATCCCAGTCACCACTCATCAAAGAAGCTCATTTTGCAGCAGTCAGAGACTAATACAAAATACCACAACTGGTCACACACGGACATTGTCTATGAATTACCCAGGCCTAAGGGACACACCTGCAATGTAACGTCTACACCTAAGGCTCATGGAACACAGAACAGGGATAAAGAAGAGGACACTAAGGAATCAGTTCTCAATAATGAAGCTCCCTCATGCAGCAGAGGGACAGGAACACAAAAGCTCACAAATGGCCAAAGTGTAGCAATCAAGAGTCTCCTGAATAATTGTCCTTGGACAGGACCCCTTTATTAAACTTCATCCACCCAAGGCTCAGGGACATCATGGAAGAGGGGATGGAAAGATCGTAAGATCTTTCCTACAAGCTCCTGGGAACCTGCTCATATGTTTCTATGGCATAGGTGTCAGCATACACAAGTCCCATGCAAACTCAGGCAGACAGTAACCCAGCATAGAACTGGGATAATGAACAGCAGACCTCAATCTCATCTGAAGGAATGTTGGCAAAAGATTGCTGCTAGATGAAGAAGAGCTAATCTTCCTAAAACAAGGGACTCTAGACAGACTGACTAGACTCAGTGGATGGACTTGCACTGGGGAACAGCTGGGGGCACTGACAATACAGTGGGCAGTAACAGGGACGACAGAGTATATGGGCTCCAGGTTGGGGGGATGGGGAGGCAGAGGCTAAGGGAGGGTGCCAGTGGGGATGGGGGTATAAAGATGATAAAGATTGTTTGAGATGTTCTGTATGAAATACACACACACACACACACACACACATCAGGGATGGGGGTATAAAGATGATAAAGATTGTTTGAGATGTTCTGTATGAAATATACACACACACATCAATAGAAAAAATTAAAAAATAAAAGTAAAAAATAAGTTTTTTTAATGTGATTGAAATTACTAAGTAAATAAAAGAAAGACTAGAAATGGCAGAGAACAAAATACAAATAAATGATAAAAGGTAGATTTGTAAAAATCAAAAAGGATTTCTTTAAATATTACAAATTTTCCTCTAAAAAATCAGAAATTCAGTATATTAGTTACATAGCAATTTCTCAAGGACAGGAGACAAGGAGGTTTTGGCAGTTCTCAGCAAGCTGGGCTTGCGGTGTGTTTGAGGGAGAGATTACCTATGTCATGAACCTATACCATTAGGACTGTTGTTCAATGTGAGTAAAGCATATTATTTTAAAATGAAGAACGCTTATATGTGTTGTCCAAACTTAACCGAAGACAGTACTGTGAGCCACTTAATGCTTTGTATATAAGGACTTACGGAGAAATGATGTCTACTTCAGTCACAGGAAATGAGACCCCAAAGCTTCTCTTTTCTTACTTGCAGGAATTCGAGGCTACTGTGAGTGCTTCACAGTCACACATCATTAAAAATATATTTTAGTCCTCATTTAAATTTTCAGCCTAATTTTTACTTCTGTACTTTACATGCGCTTATTTAAAAGTCCTAGGATTTTCTTTTTGAAAGACAGTGGAAGTAAATCTATAAAATTCTTATACAAAATGTCAAAGTTAAGTATTATGTCCCAAAAATCTTATTTAGGTGTTAATACTCACTTAAATCTTTCTCTAAAGAGTGCATTTTCCTTACAAGCTTTTAACTAGAGATTCATAAAGAGGTACTAGAACAAACGTATTTCTTATAAAATCTAAGGGGATCTACTCCAGCTGGGACAAGGCAGATGCAGAGGAGGGCAACTGTCCAGAGTGCCCAGTGAAGCTCGGTTGGAAAACTGCTGCTACAATGACTTTCATTTATCCAGTAAGAAGTCTGACTGTTCTGACTACTAAGCATGAGGCACAAAACTACCACAGAAATTCCTCAGGAGGCAACATCCATGTCTTCATTCTTATCTTTAGAGCCTTATTAGGTGCATTCCCAGATGATAAGAGAAATAGGAGAAAAGATTAGGTAAATTCAAGATAGTGCTATTTCAGTTACAACTGACAGCATTTTCACTGCTTAAGATCAAATAAAACAAAGCAAACTAAGCCTATCCATTGAAAATTAATCCAGTAACAGTTTAAAAAACACCCTAAATCTTAAAAACTAGCTAAAAATCAATTTATCAAATTTTATTTCCTTACATTGTGGAGACAAGGCAAATGTTAACATCTTGTGTGCTGTTGAACTCTTTCACAATCTTGAGTCTTTCCTCTGATTTTGTGTTTCCATCAAGCCTCCGGTAATCAAGGCCAGATGCCATGCAGTACTGCTGCAGCACGTCCAGCAGCTGTAGGAAACGCAGGGGGAGTGCAGGTTTATAGGCTTCATTTCACTAGAGAGACTACACTTAATAAACGTCGACTATTGGCGCTCACAATTTCTCATTACAGGAGAAATAAATATTTGGGGATCCTGAGTGTAGCTTGGGGTAAAGTGTACCCTAACATGTACCCTAGGCTCTAATCTCCAGCACAATAAAAAGAGAAATGTTTTTCTCACTTCTGACCCATGTATTTCTTATTATTCTGAAACAGGTAATCTTTGTTTGTTTTTGTTGTTAAAGATCAGTCTCTTGAAAAAAATTAAAAAAGAAAGAAAACTAAAACCACAACCAAAACCAAATAAAAAGATTACTATTGGTCAAGTCATTTATATAAACATTTTATTGTTTGTATCACTTTCTAAATTCTAAAGTACATTAAATATCTCAGTTATTTACAAGAACATAAATAGAAAATAAAAGTCTGTCATTGAGTTTGATAATTGATGGTGATGCTTCTATTGAATTTCCACATATAACTCAGTGTGCTGGAAAGGCTGGAGCTACTTTCTTCACCACCATGCACTACTGTGGATGGGGGTGAACGTGACTGTGTCCCTTATGCCTCATGCCTCAGGAGACAGGGCCAGCTAGGCAAGAATACTTCAGATAAAACTCACCTTGGTGGAAAAGGAGAAGAGAAGAACCTTATCTCTGTTTTTCCTAAAATGATTTAAAAGCTGCTGAAGGACCTGGAAATGAATCACACAGCACCAATGTACCAGTTCCAACTAAAAGCACACTTTACACAAACAAGTATCAGCTGAAAATTTCTTAAAAATTATTCTATACAATCTCAGTCATATTGGCTTTATATTTTCTAAGTTAAAAAGTTTAGCATTTATTATAGCAAATGTTATTTATTCATCATCCTATTGTCAATAAGGAGGTAAAGTTCCCAAAGCCTTATTTCATCTCATCTGGCTTTAATAAAAAGCAAGCATTTTAGATTATGGGATGGATTTAGATGGATTAATTTAATTTCCAAAATACATTTTCTTTATACCTACAATATGTTAAGAAACTAAATTATAGAGTAGTATACTTTTGGTTTCTAGACAGACACAATGAAATGTGTCTAGATTCTGTAAGGCCTAATATTTATTTTCTTTGAATAATCAGTCATATGCATACTTCTTCTCACTCTCTCCCCTTTGTTAGTTTCTGGTAAGTTTGACTTCCAGATTGAATTTTGACCTTGAAATGCCAATAATCTGACCCACACACAGTTCTTTCATAGAGGAAGCACCGCCTAAAGCCTGTGTATAGTAGCAATACTGTTATCCTTGAACACCTTTCCACATTGGGGAAGACAGTTCCAGAACACCATGAAAAGGCAGTCCACTGAGGGGAAGGGGTTTCTGAAAATTTTCTCAACTGTGAAAGAAAAACATTTTGATGATAAACATTTAAACATTTTAAGAAAATTATACTCAATATAACACTGTTTTAACAGCTGATCAAGGAAAGACCTTGTACTAAATTTGAGTCTTACCCTCAATCCTTAAAACAAAATGCTACAGAAGTTGTCTTTTTGTTTGCTTGTTTGTTTTTTTCTGACAGGGTCTTACTACGTAGCCCTGGCTGGCCTGGGACATATTATGTAGTATTTAAGGTTAATGAAGTGAAAGCTTTGCCAGAAGCCACCAAACTGTCCTGCAGTGATGGTCCCACTCTGCATCCTCACCCTTAGTGAAAGAGGGTTCCTGCTGCTTCATAGCCTCTGACAGATTTGGTGCTATCAGTGTTCTGTACTTTGCTGTTTTAACAGGTGTGCAGTGGTATCCCCACTGTTGCTTTACTTTTGCAGATTTTAATGGTATGGCAGTGTCTTCTCTTATGCTTACTTGTTATTTGTAAATCTTTTTAGTAAGGTATCTATTTAGATCTTTTACCCATTTTAAAACTGAGTTGCCTATTTTCCTCCTGCTGAGTTTTAAGTATTCTTTGGATATACTGGACATCAATCCTTTATTGTTTTGTAAACATTCTGATCTTTGGCTTGTCTTTTCATCCCTTGAAGATGCTAACATATTAAACCAAGGATATAGTGAACAGATATCTACACTTGTCATTTGGGGTGGCTTCCGATCAATAGTAATTTTAGGTATTTAAAAGTAAAAGCAAAAATAAGTAGTAAGAAAAGAATGTTCTCAGACTAAAAGTCTTCAATTAAGGCTAGTTTAAAGAAATAAACTCATTAAATGAATAACTATAAGTTAAAAGCTCATACCGGAACTTTCAAAAATGAAAATACCATAAATATATATTAAAGCTTTAATAATATGGATCCAGTGTTTCATTACTTACTTGTCCTCCATAAAATAGGACAGTCTACCTATAAATTTTCAGTTTTCAGATGTTCAGCCAAACGTTTGGATCTAAGTTTTCTCAAATTAGTCAAACTGGCCTAGAAAGGTGAACATGGTACCCTTTTGTGATTCCATAGCACCAAGCTAAGTTTCCCAGTCTTTTCCCCTACCTCTCTCATAAAGTGGATTTGTGGTAGATCTTGCTAGGGAAAGAATGTGAGAAATCTTATCATAATGAGTCCATCTTGTGAGTGTCCCTCAAGTAGGTGAGATAACAATGATGCTAACATTCAAAGTTGGTCTTGACTGTAGCTTTGAGACTATGACAGCTAAAATAGGCATGATGTTCTCAGGGCCTTTGCAGATTCAGGTAGACTGAATTCAAAAAGGGCACACAAGTCAATTACCTGAAGTTCTTAACCCCATATGCAGTAGTAACTCTATGATCAGCCTATAGGCTTTACATCACCAAATCGTGTATCACCAGATGATACTGCTGAGATGACGAGAGACAATGCTAAAGCATGCATCCCTAGCTTATTACTCTCAGGTTCTGCTTGGCTGGTAATCTTTCAGAAGATGGAAATTAGCTGCTCCCTTCATAGCCTCTAACAAACACTTATGCTTGTGCATGCACATCTATGTGCAGAGCTTACAGTGAACTAGGACATTAAGGAGACAAGCTGACTATCTTCCACCATCTTCCACTATCTCCTCTGTGTCTAGGCGCTTGTCATGAGTAGCTGGTATCCTTGCCATACCACTACATAAATACTTGGTACAACATCCCTGCCTGTATGCAAACTGAAAGAAGAGCACGCACCTTCATTTTTCCACTATACTTAGGGTCAGAAAGTGTTTCAAAGGCTGCATCCTTGCTTTTCTGCACAAAATCTGGGAATCTGGAAAATACTTGATCACATATCCTCTTGATAAGTGTTTCCTTGAGAGAAGGAAGAAGAAATTTCAACTTAACATATTAAAACCTGTAAAAACTGAAACTGCTATGAAAAAATTCTATTCATAAGAAATAGCAAATGTGGGCTGGAGAGATGGCTCAGCAGTTAAGAGCCTCTTGTAGAGGCCCTGGGTTCAGTTCCCAGCATCCACATCCTTAACATCGTTAACAGTAATCCTTAACTCCAGTTCCAGGGGATCTGACACCTTCTTCTGGCCTCCACAAACAATGCATACACATGGTGCACTTACATACATGTAGGCAAAACATTGATACAGGTAAAATAAAAATAAATTTTAAAAGAAATAGAAATCTAATCTATTTCTGCCTTCTCTAAGTCAGACTAATAATTCAGAAAATCTTAATGCCGTCTGTTAAACACAAATAGTTTGGTGAATTTTTACTGCTATGGCTACTAATTTTATCATTACTTTCTCAAGATTTCCAAAACAAGGTAACAAACACTCCCCAAGCTGGATGTGATGGCGCACACCTTTGATCCCAGTACTCTGGAGGCAGAGGAAAGCAGATCTCTGTGAGTTCAAGGCCAGCCTGGTCTACATAGTGAGTTCTAGGCCAGCTGGGGCTACAGGGAAACTGTCTCAAGAAGACCAAAGGGCAATAAAAAAACATTCCCCAAAGAGTAACATTATCAAAGACTACTGTATCAAATATTTAATAGATTTCAAAATTAATTTAAATAGCAACAACTATAACACAATAAAATATAAAATCATCACATAAAGCAAGACCTTCTGATGCATATTGTGCTCTGGAGTAAGACACACTGAAACTACCAAAGAAATGATTCTGTTTAAGCTGAAACTTGGAGAGCATTGATTTTTGCCAATTCAGGAAACACACTTAATTATTTAATTTAGAGTTTATTATATACCCTTTAACCCATCCGATTAGACAAATATAATTAAACATAACAATATTAACTGAATAGGATTGAAATAGGACTGATTTATGAAATATCTTAGTGATTTACCAAAGGATATAAGGAAATATAAATACAGAAACATTATATTAGAGACATAAAAATAGCTATTACTTTTAGCTCAAACTTTTTCAGTTTGATTAAAAATTTAAGTGCACCTACACCTTGATACCTCAATTTTCCTTTTGAAAAAGTTATTATCATTATTATTGATGCTGAGGATTTCCACATCCTAGGCAAAATTCTAGTACTGACTTATATCTCCAGATCACTAAATTTTAAAATAGGTCAGGTTCCTCTTAAATTCCATCCAAAAAAAAAAACCCTTAAAGATACTTAGCTAAGACACTGTATACCTTGATCAATTAGATACTAACAACAATATAACAGTATCAGTTTTCTATCAATAGCATCACAAGGAACTATAAAAAGTCAACCCTGACCTGATGTCTGGAGGTGCTGGCAGCCTGCAGCAGTGCCGCATGGTTAGATACCTTCTGAAGGACTGTCAGGTAACTAAGATACAGGGTCCTTACTGTTTCACCACGTGAATTGGTCTGTACACAAAAACATACAGAAAACATAAACAAGAGTTAAAGTGGCTATATGACTAATTACAAAATACATGTCTAGTTATTTGGGGTATGATAAAATTCTAAGGCCATGAAGGCTACTATTTATACAAGGTATCTATGAATCACCAACCTAGACTGCTTCTGGTGAATCACAATGCAATGATGTTTTTAATAAAAGGAAGTTTCGTAGGAAAACTACTCATGCAGACCCAGAATTTTACTGCTCAGTTTACTCTCTAACTTAGGCCACAAAGTTTTCTAAGGAACTGAGCCATTACAAAAATGAGAAATGGAGCCAGCATGGTGCACAAATCCTTAATCCCAACACTGGGGAGGCAGAGGCAGGCAAATCTCTGTGAGATTGAAGCCACCTTGGTCTACATTGTGAGTTCCAAGTCTGGGGAGAGCCTGTCTCAAAAAACAAAAAGGAGAGGGTAGTTTAAAACAGCAAAGTAAATGAGATGGTTATAGTTATAATAAAAAGCAATCTAGATAAATACTTAGTGTCCCTGTACATGGATATGTGACATAAAGAGATGGCACAACAGCAGGAAATACAAATAGACGGTATAGAAAGACACAAATGATTTTTGTTTCTAAAAAAACATTTTGGGGGCTGGAGAAATGGCTTAGTAGTTAAAAGCACTCGCTGCTCTTGTAGAGGACCTGGCTTCAGTTCCTGCACTCACACTTGGTGGCTCACAATCGGCTGTCCCTCTAGTACCTGGGGATCCAACACCCTCTTCTTGCCTCTGAGGGCACGAGGCACACACACTACACAGAAAATAAAAATAAATCTTAAAAAAGAAAATATTTTGTTCTGCTAATATTTAATTTCAATTAAATTGATACTATCTCTAACATTAAAATAGTATTTGAGACAGCAAATAGTAAATCACTTCTACTAACAGTGGATAGTGAGAAATTTGTGAAAATAAAATGGAATTTCAAGATGAGAGTAGACTTGTTTCCTAATAAAAGGTGAGAGGTTATCAAATTGAGAGAATATCAAACTAAGGCTTAATTTCTAAAATTAGGTTTTCAAAACCTATTCAAATATTGATTTTGTATGTGGTTATTTGATATCACAAAACATTTCTAATAACTTGAATATTTTGTGTTATGATCTGTGTGACTACAGGTATGTACGTGAAATGGCACACACTGTTAAGTCAGAGGATAACTCCCAGGAGCCAGTTCTTGCCTTCCACCCTGTTCTGAAGCAGAGTCTCCCTTATTGCTTCTGCTGCATCATGGTGTACAAGCTTCCAAGACATCCATTTTCCTGTTTCCACATCTGATCTCGACAGAGGAACACTGAAAATTAGACTCATACTACTGCATTCAGTTTTCTAGGTCGACTATGTGGATCCGAACTCAGGTTGTCAGGCTTGTGTCACAAGTGCTTTTACCCACATCTCCCTAGCCCTTTGATAATGTTTTAAAAACATAACTTCTAAAGTTATGTTTAAAGAACTGAAGAAAAGCTGGCTCACTGAAACAAAAGCAAAACAGTAAGAATAAACTAGAAAGAAATGCTTACCTTGTAACAACAATTTCTCCTTTTCCGGCCACTGCTGCAGGTACAAGGCTGAGAAGACTGAAGTATCAAAGCCACATCTTCTGTCTCTAACACTGTTTGATAGACAGCTTTCTGGAAATCTGTCAAAGAACAGTAAACCATCTGCCAAGACAAAGTACAAGGCAATTACGAAAATTTTTTTGTGGCAATGAGAAGAATCATCACACTGAAACTTCAGAGATGGTAACAGTACAATTGTTCTCTCTGCTTAAGCCCTTCGTTCTTGTTCCCCATCTCAATCTAAATTTTACAGATTATTATTTCAATCTCAAACTCATACTTTGTTCTTGTTTCTACTTAAAAGGAAATATAACATGAAAAACAAGTTATGTGACTTCCTTATGCATTCCTTCCTTTAAAAGTCTATTAGTCCATCTTTCAGCTAAGCCTAATGGCTAAACATCATCACAACTGGGCTTGTTGACAGGTGTGCTCGTTCATCAAAGGACGGCTAAGCAGGGTCACTGGACCCTCACTGGAGTATCCAGCCACTCTTCCCAGCCAACTGTATGGAATTTGGTCCTAATCACACATGGCCTCCTGGATTTGGGGAGGGCTAAAGTATACAATCTGGGGAAGGCTAGGAAGAGAGGGCTTGACCCATGCTGGTGAAAGGCTTTCTAGTGTGCATACCCTTAAGTCATACATACACTCAGCAACCCCTTAGTTATCTTGGTAAGTAAGCTCAATAAATTCATTGGTTTCCCAGTAAAACTTTAATCAAACATTGGCTTGACACTAGAACCTTAAAAGGGAATAAGCATTGCTTAGCATCCACAGGAAAACAAGTCTTACAACAGATGGGAAATTTATTTGTTAATGCTGTTATGTCTCATAATTATTAAAAAAAAGAAGAAAATGAGAATGTAAAAGATGTTAAAAGGATATGGTAATGGAGATACTTTCCAAAATAGGAAAAAATGAGAAAGCCTAAGTAAGTGGTGAGGGTCTGTGTAGG